CTCAATTCAATGACGGGGGAAAAAAGGTTTGCACTGCCCGGGAATCGAACCCGGGTCGCAAGAATGGGAATCTTCCATGATACCACAACACCACCATTAAACAATCATTAGTCTAATAACGGATATTTACTCTGGTGATAAGAAAAAACTATGCACTTCCTTCATACTCAGCCCATGTGCGTCATGGGATCCATTTTACTTGCGAACTGGGAGCTTGCACTGAGCTGGAGATAATTTTTTTTTCATGGAATGCGTAAATTACTTCGCCCTCAACGGTGATAAAAGGAGAGGCAATATGCATACTCCGCTGGAATGGGTGTATGGACGCAGTGTGGGATGTCGTTGCGTGGAGTCAAAGCGTCCACATTCACTCATGCACGGCCGTGAACTTCCAAGCAGGAAATGGCTGCATTCGAAATCTTACGGCTGCGGCTAGCCCACGTTATGCTGATGGCAAACGATAGCAGTGGCTAGCCGAACAGCTCCCATGGGTGACGGCGTGTTATGCCAACTGTATTCAAAACGGTCGGACACAACGTCTCTATGCTGGGCCCCTGGCTTGGGTCTGGGCCCCTTGGTCTGATGAGGAGACGATCGAGACCAGACGAAACAAACACGGGCAAGTTCGAGCGGCGATTACAGTTGTCTACCACGGGTCCTTTTCCTTGGTAATTACCTGTGCGCAAAATAAGTATGGGTACCAGACAAAATAGAGCAGTGGTCGACAATAGGTCGTCGCTCGAAGTCGCCCAAAGTTACCCCCTGAGATAATCACTCCACTCACCACTCTTCGTTGTCCGGATCGTAGCACTCCACGTTGAAGATAGTGGTGATGCCGTTGAAGCCGCCGATGATGAAGATCATGTCGTCCAGCACGATGGAACCGAAGTTGCTGCGGTGGATGTACATGCTGGGGCAGGGTGTCCAGCCTAGGGCGTTCATGGTCCACCGCTCCATGGTGTTGAGTCTCGTCAAACCGTTGAAACCGCCTGAAACGGATTTGAAGTACTTCAGTAAGGGGCAAGTAACCAACTGGGTACCCATAATTTGAGTCCATAGAGGCGAAAATGGGGATTATTTTACCGCTTGCCCCTTTTTCGTACGTTGATAATTCCTTCCCCCCCCCGAAGTACTGTTTCTGTGAACTTTTAAGTTTCTGACATTTGTAGAGAGCCTGCATTTTTACCTATAGACATTTGAAATCATTTCTCTGAATTCAATTGACACTTAGCCAATGATTTCAACAAATCTCAACGTAACAGTTGGTGTGTTCCTGCTGTGACGATAGAGGGTATGCTGCCGTTTTGTTATGTGCTTTTGCTCCACAGGATACGCACGAAGGAGGTTTCCCTGTGAAACAAAAGAACTGCCTTCAAAGATGGCTACCGTGCAAAGCCTCTATTGGTGGGTTTTATTGGTCTGAGAAAGCTGATTAGGCCTACAGTAGTTGAATTGATTAAGTTATCAATTCTCGTCGGCTGTTAAGCGACCAATGACACCCAAGCATAACACAACGGCCCTTGTTTGGCAAGGTCGAGGCTACCCACCCACAGCATAAACGTAGTCCCGGAACGACACGCAGCCCACTCCGCTCCGCCGGCTGCCCATACGGGGCAGGTCGCGCCATTCCCGGGCCTCGGGGTCGTACATCTCCGTGGTGTTCAGGCACTCGTTACCGTTGAAGCCGCCGACGATGACGATGCAGCCGCCCACCGCGCAGGCCGAGGCGTCGCTGCGGTGGTGGTTCATGGACTGGATCAGAGACCACTGATTAGCCTCCGGTTCATATCTTTTGAGGGATAAAGTTGAGACGTCATTGCAAACTCTGCATGTCAGGAATCCCCCCCTCCCATTGCGGCTGGCCGTGTGGATTGTGTGGACACAGGTCTTATAATCATGTTATTATCAATTTCTGAACATAGATTTAGCTCTAAATGGTTTTAATTTCATGTCCTCCGCACCCTGTAAATAATAAATAACCCTGTAAATAATAAATTACGCCCAAAAAATCTTAGGTATTTTGGGGGGGATGTTGGGGGGGTCCCAACTGCAGATCTGAAATAACATTTGATGCATGACTGAAAACCCATACAGTTCTTCCTGTTGTTCGAGTTGACTACATGATTCCACATTCTTGTAATGGAACAATTTGAAAACAAAGTGTAGTTCACATACATTTATTCAAAAATAAACAGAATTGTCAACCAAAAAATAACGATCAATAATAAGTACGAGATCTGGATGACAGGTTTGGAAATTATATGATAAAAAACGCATTAAAGAAAAGTGTAAACTAAAAAACACTGAGAAATAACAACTGATACAATACCCCAACCTGTATGGTGACAAAACCAGGCTGTTTGGCATCAGCTAATTCAAGTTAGCAAAAACTGATTCTCAAAGATCACCGGATGCTTCCGTATAGGATTTTAAATTACGTAAGGAGCTTCTCAACCAAAACCCTCAATCTTGGAGGTTTAAATCCTAGCAGAACAGTATAGTTGTGTAGGCCTACCTGAAAACATGATGCATCAGTAGATAAAAGTGGCCTCCGACGTAAAATGTAAGACATGAGCGTCACTGCCGGCGAACACTTCTATTGTTTATATGCCACAGCAACTGCGCAGGTCATGGATTTTTCTTTGTCTTTGTTTTGACTTCTTTCGTCTGTTTCTGAGTTAAGACCCTAAAATTCTAAGTGGCTCCATTTCCTGCCTAAAGAACAACTGCAAAATGTGATATGATGGAACCACGGCTGAGAGACACTTGGTTCCATCACCAAATGAATCGGTTATCTCGTATGAGGCAAAATCACGGAGATTTACTGGCCGAAATTTACTGGCCTTTGCTGGCCTCGTAAGTACACTCGAACATATGGGAGCAAAATCCAAAGCTGGCTTGCATCCAGAACCCACAAAACGAGGAGGCACCGCACACCTGCAAGCAAATGAAAGGCGTTTGGATCAGTGTCATTTCTATTACCTCTCTACCGACCGCAGCCGAGTGTGGCCGTCGAAACCCCCCATGGCGTAGATGACTCCGCCCAGCACGGCCACGCTGACGTAGCACCGGCGGGAATGCATGGGAGCAACCTCCCGCCAGACACGGGTGAGCGGGTCGAACAGCCGCACGCTGTTGAAATACTGGTTGCTGTCGAACCCACCTACCGAATTGAGGAAATTGATGGGCATCATATCATTTTGACATGACAATAATGGTAGCAAGTGCGTTCAAAGTCGACATGACGCTAAAAACTTGGTTACATAATTCCAATCACAATTTTACCTGGGGACATGGGTTGAAAAGTTCAAATAATGCACTTGTTTCTACCGATGAACTAGGTTTAACAGCCGCCCATTTCGACTACCCAACACCCGCAAAGCTTAAAGCCAAGCTGTCGTCATATATGAGTATGTATGAAACCTGGCCGTAATATATTTCCATCACATAGCACGCATTAATACCGGCGATTCACAATAGTGCGCCACCAAGAGTTTGCAACCCGTTAGCCAAACATAACGCGCGAAATTTGTCGACCCTTTCCAAACACGCATTGGGTCGACAAATTTTGCGCATTCTGATTGGCCAACGCGTTGCAAACTCTTGGTGGCGCACTATTGTGAAACGGCCGTATTACCGATGCTTTCCAAATCAGTAACAACCTTCAAAGTGAGCGCATTTTCTTAAATGAGACAAATTATTAACACATAAATTGAAGCTCAGAATAAAAAACTTTTAATTGTGACTTTTCTAACAAGAGAAATATGTGCAGCCTACTATCCAAGATTCCAATGTAGACATCCAGTATTCGAACCGCTTCCTTGACTCACTTTTACGCACAAGCCGACCTTCTCATACCCACAATGCTGCAGAATTCTGCTGACGCATGTGACACCATTCTGTTGCCTCTTATAATACGTTGCCGGCACTCTTCAAACAGTGGCATTTTGCTGTAAAAGCCTGCTGGATTTATAAACAGCGGTGGGTAGTCGGGTCGGTCGGTCTTATCCCGGCCTCTTCTGCTCCGATCCACTTACCAATAACAAACAGCTTGTGCCCCAGCACGGCTACGCCCATGTAGGCCCTGGGCCTGTTGTTGGCGGTGTCCAGCATGACCCAACGGTCGGCCCTGGTGTCGTAACACTCGATGGCGCTGGTCGGGCTGCCGCCGCTCCAGCCCCCGACGGCAAACAGGACTTTGTACGGCAGTCTTGGGCGGGATACCACCTGTGAGGGGATGATTTCGTTGAAGACTATAATAGGCCTAGGTATGGCATGCTACAAGTAAGGCTATATATCAAGGAACCACATTTAGCTCAAGCAATAATCTTCCACGTGCTTAATCAGAGGTGGCTGTTCCTACCTATCATAATAAAGTACACTAATAATTAACTTAATTAATTTTTTTCCTCTTTCGATTTGGTTCTGATGATGAATTTACAAGATAACACTTCGCGACCTCACTTTGATGGCAACATTCATTTTACATGCGCCAGCTCGTGTTTAATTCCAGAAAACACCAAGTTATGCTGTTATAAAGGGTGCTCTTAACTCATCAACATGAGCCTGTGAATGACAACTCCCTGGTTCGTGCGTACAGTGCCTCGACCGCACCCGAACCTTGTGTCTATAGCTGTTGTGGCTTAATTAAGCCCTCTGTTTCCAAATGCGCGGCACCTGCTCATTGCAGACATAGCCGTAGCTCTGGAAGCCCGTTTCGGACTTGACCATCGAGTCGCTCTACCAATACCAGAGTGTTTACATAAGGCACAGTGGTGAATCAATGATCCTTCATCATTTTATCCTGTCGTTTTAACTGCTGTCCATATTACTCCACATACTTTGCTGGGCCCCACTGTGCCCTCGGTAGCGTCGAAATTGTACGTGTAGTTGATGGTCTGCACGATGACCGGTTTACACAGGTCGTTGTTCTTGACGTATGAGTGCGCCTTGATGTTGTTCATAAAGTAGTCCGTATTGGTCATACCAAGGCGTATGTGCATCAAGAGGCGGGGCATGAATGTTTTGCGTTCGGCCTCTTTGAATCGTATCTGAGATTGGAGAAAATAAGAAATTACTAAATTACTATTTAGAGAAAAAATAGTCAAATATTAAGCTTTAAGCTGGTGACTAAAACTGTTTCCCGAAGAGCCTGCAAAGTAAATTTAGTTTGCCTAAGAATACTGTCGTTTTATTTATGTCGTTCGTTGTCACAAAATACCTAAGCGGAAGAGCAAAAATTATATCCATGCCGGGCTCAGTGCATAAACATATAAACGGACTATTCTATGTGAACCATTTTGCCGTATTTGTCATGTAGGCTATTCAAATTGGACACGTGTATGTTCTGTACCACTGCTTAAATAGCCAAAGCCACGAAAGTGATACGCATGTAGTAACATTCCTGGCTCTGGCACTAATGTGACAAAGTTCGAGTGCATAGCCATGCTCAAATCGAAGCCAAGGCCGTCATCACTGTCTTAAATTGTGAATGCTCTACAGTCAGATTACCCATCTCAGCACTGCCTCGAAGACGTACTCCTCCATCTTGACATTCAGTTGGTCCTCATACAGTAATTCCACCAGCTCGTCCACGCTCAGTGAGAGGAATTCCTCGGACTCCGGAAGGAGCACGATCTCCTCGAAGTGGACCAGGATGAACATGAGGGCGGTCTCCTGCAGCTTGAAGCAGAAGTACATCTTGGCGAAGCGCCAGATGCCGATGCAATTGTCCGCCGCCAAGTGGTTGATGAGGAACTCGCTGCAGAGTTGCACCAGACCTGTGATTGGGCCGGAGCGGAATGACGTATAAGGTCAGCTGACAGGCTTATTGGTAATTGGACAAGGCTCGCTCTCAGAAAATAATAACAATGGCGTGTCTTCGGCTACGGTGGTTGATGAGGAAGGTATGTGTAACGTCTAGTGCCGTCACTTTGATACTTTGATTACGTAAACTGCCGATATGAAGGCTGTTAAAAAAGGCTGATTTTGTGGCCACATCCTTCAGTGCCTGGCGTGTGAAGACACGTGCAGTGTAAGTTAGCTACGTTTGCCTTCACATCAATGGACATAATCAATGATGTTTATGACGTTAACAGACATGGCAGGCCAAACTCATCTCGGAAATACGGTTCAGTTTAGAGAAAGAGTTTCCTTGTTACCATTCCACAAAAACATGGACGATACTGAATATACTTGCAGAAATTTTTCAATCTGTAAACGGTGCCCACCTCCGACGTTGAACTGGTCGGCAGCCGGCAACAATTCCTCCACGTTCTCGGCCGTGATCTTGACCTGTCTGGTGTAGGCGTAGTCCAGGATGAGGGCCAGCAGGTTGGCCTTGGTGTTGGGAATGTTGACCACTCGCTCCTGGGTCTCGTGCATGCCGTTGGTGAACAGGGCCCTGAAGTAAGGGCTGCAGGCTGCAAGGATATTCCTTGAACGAGGTTGGGGAAAAAAGAAAAGAAAGTGATGGCCTCAGGATGCTGTATTGGCGACAGTTAATATGGCTAACTTGCTATGCGAGCTTCATTTTCCTTGCTTACCTATGGGCGGGGAAGTCCTGGTCTTCGCACCGTAGCACAACATCACAGAGCTGGCCGTTCTTCCGCAGTTCGTCGAAGACGGTGAAAGCATTGTAGCTCACTCTTCTTTCCACATTCATCCTATCTATTCTGATTCAACTCGAGCGTTTTTTCTTCTGACTTTTGGACCAATACCCGGCACTTCTCTCAAGGCAAGTCATTTTTCTGGAAGTTTGCGTGGTTTCTGGCGGGTTTGTTTTGATTTCGGTGTTTCTGAGCGAGTTCGGCGCGCGGGGAGGTTCGGTCTAGCCAACTCGCGTTTGTCGCGATGGTAACAGAATCATCACGAAAAATGAATTTACATCATCAACAAGGTGCAGTCTTTCTATCCTGTTCGTAAGTGACTTTGTCACAAAGGCGGACGCGCCACGATTCGCAGGCTCCCATTGGACGATCGCAGAAGTTGTGCGTTAACTTCCGGTTCCATGGTTCCACATAAACGGCGATCAATGCATGTAACTCTATGTGCAGTGCACATGTGCAGTGGGCGTGATTTAATCTGGAGTACGTCACACTTACGAACCAGATTGGCCGCTGCCTTTAATTACGCGCACGCATTTTGGGAAGCTTTCCCATCTGACGCTTTTATTCTTACGTCATAATGTATTCGTGTCGTTGTTTAGGCGTAGGCATAGAGCTGTAGGCCTATCGACAAGAATACAACATCAAATCAGTGCTGTGAAATATGTGATTGCCGAGCTTTCGGTAAACTGAGTACCTCAGGGCAAGCAGATTATTCTGATCTCGGTGCTACGCAGCCCTTCCATTATCTGAGCTATAGGCCTGAATACATATAGCTCTATGGGCATAGGTGTTCTGTGGGGATAATGTTCTACCACAAAGTTATAGCTCTATGTCTTGGTATGTTGGGCTTCAATGCAAATGGGATTCATTCAGTTTAGTGTCGAAGTGGAAATTTAAGTAGATGAGCAGCTACCAGTAAGTTGGCTTCAGCGCACCCACTTCACTGGCCTCGTCTGGAGCAACGGTCCGGATAATATTTTGTTCCCCGAGGTTTTAAGGGGGGGGGATGATAAACAGGGACAATAGTCGGTGCTGTTCGCGGCATGCATAAACACTCAGCGACACGCTTATGCCATGGAAAACGGGAAATTCCCACAAACAGCGGCCCATGGATGTTGCTAACTTTGTGGATCTTCCATTAGAGTAGTTAGAAGTCCTCAACACTGAAGAATGGGAAACTGAACGTGCTGTGTGGGAAAAACACAGAAACATCAATCTTTGGAGACAAAGATACCTATAGTTTCTTGTCGGGAAGGTGATTTCGCTCGTTTGATCGCATTGTTAGGCTCGCTTCAGCGTGAGTTCAGTCGCGCATCCCGCCGCTTTGTTAAAAGAAAAAAATCACGGGATTGCAAAGAAGTACTTCCAATCTGCAATTAACTCCGCCCCCCATGTGGACTGGGGCCATAGAGCTATATATATCTCTATGACTGGGACACCCAAAACAAGAAAATGACGAATTCACCCGTTCACACACGCCTTCACGTCCAGAGAACTTTTTATTTACTTAAAGTACATGTACAAAACGAACTGCTTAGCCTTTTAAATCCATTTGAGAAAGAAAAATAGCAAAGGTGTTGAAATAAGACTGCTCTATCTAGATTCGAAAGTATAATGTCTCCTAAAATATCACGCGATGTATGTCTTTTCCGAATCCCCGATGCTCTTAAGTTCTTAATGTAAACGGAAAACAAACTTTGAACTGAACAAAACAAAGCGAAAGCAAAAAACGTATATTTGGCCTTTCCGTGAGCCCCAGCAAGAGGTTACTCTTCCAACTGTTACTTCAGACTCATTTTTTAAGAGGAAAGATTCACCCAAAAGGGCCCAATCGGGTTTAAGAACAAATAACTTGCAGAAATTATTGTTCATTGTACATTCACTTTTCAATAAAATCCAGAAATATTCTGGAATCAATTAAAATAAGGTCATTTACCCTGTCCCGTTTTACAACATTGGCAATTGCAGGTCGGTCTAAGACCTCAATCAAGGAAATTTGCGTTAACTCAAAGAGCATTTCGGTCAACAGTTGACGCCACATTTTTGGATGAAAAATACCAATGCAATGACAAACTCTCACCTTCCAAGACAGACTGGCGTACAAAAAAAAATACGAAAAATGTGCACAGCCACAATTGTGGGTATAGGCCGATCTTTTGTTGGTTTACAAAGCAACCATTATGAAACCATGCATCAACGCAGTGTGCAGTTGGGTTTCGGGCATCAAGATTATGTAGTCCCTATTTAGGCGCAGCTGACAACGAGCTGAATGACGGCTCATTTTCATTGAGGTACTTCAACAAAAGATATTGCTCACCAAATTCAGGAACTAAGCAAAAGACGGCTGGAAACCAGTCACACTAACAGTACACAAAAACAATATATTTGACTGGTAGCCTACGTTTGCTTAGCAGAAATTTCCCATGCTTTGCGACTTTCTGTGTGCTTCAATTGCAGCTCATTCAAAATGGTCCCTGGTTTGCAATAACGCTAAATTTCCCTCTATTTTCATGGCATTGCTTTTCAGGTTATGTGCAAAACAAGAATATCAATGTTACACCCAAGGTATAACTAATTACCCGTGGTTGTGGTTGTACACAAAACGTTGGAAGATGAAATGAATTCCATAAACATCAAACAAAAGATAATTCCGTGTTATTGCTAACACCAATAACTCAAGCGCATCTGCTGACTAACATCAGCTATTTTCCATTGAGTGGACGAAATCGGCCTCTAGAGGTCGCCCGCCTCCTGGTACTCCTTTGCACCAATGATCTTGCAGTTATCCCTGAGGGGGATCCCCTTGCCCACTGCCTGATTGATGATTTTGCGGCACAACCTGTTGACTGTTCCCGCTTCATCGCCCTCCATCGGCAGGAATTTGACAATGTATACGTCCACTTTTTCTGTCGATTCGATCTGAGGGTTATAAAAAAATAGAAGTGCAACTAAGAAATAGGTTCTACAGTATGCATGTCGGTGGGTTGAAATATAGTTGCTTTTAGTTCTAGATAAATAATGAGCAACGAAATACATTTATGGGCCCTAGAGGGCTCCCTGGCGCTTTGCATAACGAACCAACTATAAAACACAGAAGTAATAACACCAAAACTATAAAAAAAAATAACTAAATAAACATAAGGAAGTAGAGAGACGAACAGATGCCCATAAAATTTCCTTTCAGCTGTGGATTACTTGACATTTATACTCGTGAAAGAAAATTAGATCCCAATCAAACCAGATCATATCTGCATCTGGGCGTAGGTCTTACTGCATGTTTTCCAATGGCATCTCTGAATTCTGGAGCTTTTTGAAAAAGTGTATTTTAGCAGCCCGATGTGAAATAAAATATGGTAGGCCTGGATATACCAAAGGATGCTAAAATATCTAACATGACATACGACACGTTCAAGATATATTCCAACGGCATACTTCTCCGAGGATGAGTTGTATATTGCAGTAACTGTGACAGAATTTGTCGCAAAACCTCTGCAACGTGTTGGCCCCCACCCCGAATAAAGTACTTTTACTGTACCTCAAACCTGTTTGCGAACTCATCCGTGATCTCACACAGCTTGGCGAGGATGATGTCGCCGATTTGGGGCACCATATCCCCGCGAAGTCGCAGCCGAACCTTGACGGGGTCGTCGGGCGGCTGAACAACGATGACGGTGGCGCCCGTCCGGCTGACGCGGCACCCCATGCTTCCCAGCCTGTCCAAGGAAAGACAAGAACAGTTCAGTTCTACTGCCCGAACTCCAAGTCACAAATCAGGCTTGCTCCGTTGGTGAAGAGATCCAAAGCTCACGGTCCGAAATTCCTTCGACTTCCTTGAAAAACAAAAGTCTCGAACCTCTTTATCCAAGTCGATCCCCCTTCTGCTGTTTACAGAGAAAGGGTACACCACGTAAAATCCGAGGAAGATCCATTTTCTCCATTGAAATTTTGATCCAAACAGAAAAAAAATCGCGGTGTTTGCCAGTTTCTGTCTCGCGCGCAGTGGCGCAGAGCGGTTCGCACGCGCGCGGAACTTTTTTCGAAATAATGCAGATTTTCCTCGCGAGAAACTGCGGCTGCTTTGCACTGTTTGCAAAACCAAGCACTCACGTGCACGCAATAGCCTAAAAAGGTGTCTGGGCCAGCATTTGCATAATGTAAGCCCACATTTTGTCACTCTGTGGTTTTCTGCAACTTATTAATGTGCATTTCCTTGACGTCTGATGAGGAAGGTGTCCACATGAAGGCCTACCGAGTTGAACTTTACATTATGATTTTTTTTTATTGCTGATGCTATAAATGTACCAGCGCTGTCTAAAAATAACACTCTTCACATGTGGAAAATTCTTAATGGCACTTGAGTTGACATAATTTACCCCTATCACCTTATTTTATACACAAACAGCTATCAGAAGTTATTCAAAACGAGGAATGACGACTTTCCTGTTATAACAAAGAAATCTTGACCGTCAGGTCGAATAGCGCCATCTCTTGATGTTCTTACAATAGCCGAACGAATGTAAGCTTAAGTCTGGTGCCTTTCAACTCTTCATAATATTCAAATACTGGACATGGAGAACGTAAGGAATCACACCAGAAATGGAAAAGAATTGTGAAAAGTGATTTTGTGATCGAGAGAGTCGGAAGAAAATTTCAAATTTGACGATGAACCAAAAGGGGAATTACCACCGCAGTCCATATAGTGGTGGCGTGCCAGGGTGGGGCGAGTCGCCCATGCACCAAAGGGGTCCTCACCCGGGAGGTCAGCCGGGATACTGGGGGCAACGAGGACCGTCTCCGCATGGCCGATCGTTTGAACACAGGTTCGTAGGGCAAGTGTTAAGCCGTCCGTCGTGCGTAGTTAGTGTGAGGGCCGAAGGTTAGCATTGTCCGTGGTTAGGGCCAAGGCTTAAGATTTTCAATCAACATTCAGAATGAGTTCCATATATGGACAATACTTTAGACCAGAAAAACCAAAATGTTTGCCAAGTAAATGCTTCGGAATTTTCTCAGCTAAATTTCACTTTTTATGACATGTTATAACTCTCTCATGTTTCTGTCATGTCTATTTAGGCCTAGCCTATTCCTGATATGATTGTTATAACTTTGAAGGGAAAATAAGTGTTGACCGTGTATGGAACTCTTTCCAAAACAAACTTTGGGGGCATTTCTGGGAAGAATTCTGTACACGGACATCAGTGATTTGTTCTTTGCAGTTATTAGCTCTCTGACGATGTCTGAAAAAAGTGATCGCCCATTTATAATGTACAGATGTATCTGCTGACATGGCTGATCTGGTTGTTTTGTCAAAGACTTGATTTCAGATTTTGTTGTACGTTTGTGGTCACATGATGTCACACTGGTAATGATGTGAGGTAGGGAGACATAAATCAATGCTGTCGCTTTCTAAATGTCAAGAAAAATAAATAAATAAATAAATAGGCCTGGATGAATAGATAAAATCATGCACGAAAATGACGAAATGTGCGTATTTTCTTGTTGCTGCGATGTTCACTTTTTCCATGGGAGCTATTTTACCGTAAAGTCACATTTTTCCTTTGGGTATTAACAGGCCTGCAGCCTAGAACTACAAAAGATTTTGCCATTCTGTGATCGAAGAATTGATTAGTTGGTCAAAATTTTATATTGGTCTGTATATCAACCAGGCATCACATCCAAATAGTTAGCAGTGCTGAAGTTTTACTGTAAAGTCTCGTAATTGTTTGAGTTATATCTTATTTATTTAAATGCATTTCCTTGTTCATAACAGAGGGCCACCAGGGCACACCCCCAGGCCCAGGCAGTCCCCCAGGGGTCAGTTCCCATCCCCCAGGGTTCAGTTCCCCTCCCCAATGTACTCATCGTCCCCGTATGCACAGCAGACTCCTCACCAGCAGCACCGCATGGGCCACAGGAGGGGAGGGGCCGGCTCGCCCAGATTTCCTCAGTTTGGGGGGCGTAACTCAGGAGGCGGGCATTTCACGCCGCCACGGCATTCCTCACTGGGACAGGTAATTGTTGAAGTTTTCATGTCAAGGTTTTCACCTGAAAAAATTCAGTAAAAAAAATTGGTAAGAAAATGAGTCAAAAGTCTAAAATTGCAATATTTTCCCTCGGGGAATAAACCCAGCTCTTTAAAAACATTACTGAAGGGTCTAAAAATGCAACATTTTTATAATGACGAGTGTTTTGTGACATGAAAGGTTCATTTCTGATCCGTATTTTGGCATGTGATGGGAGGGAGCTTGTTTTGAATGAAAAATTATAAGCACGTCCTTATTGTTTCTCTCTAATACAATTTGTTTAATACAAACCTTGAAAATGCACCTCTGTGTCTCAGTTAACTTCATTTTCAATTTTGCTTCGAAACAGGTATTTCAAAGAGTATCCGCTCCAAGCAGAACAAAAGAGGGCGTGTTTTTTTGGTACTCACCGCACAGGCGCGCATTTATAATGGAGATCAATGGCCGCCTTTGACGGGGAACACGCTGAGTACGCGAAACGAATTCCTTAATGTGTGGTCTTTGCGTACTCACCGAACGCGTGCAAGAACCTGCTTGGAAAAGTTACTACCACCTGTCTTTCTTTTGCCGCTTGGGGGTGCACTTTAACTCAGGGCGGATTATGCTGCCTTTATGGTTTTATGCTAGTGAGGCTTCCATATTCATGGTCAAAATTTGGGTGTCATACCTGAAAATTGATTTGTGCGCAAAAGCGATGGAATTTTTTCTAGATTTTGATGATCTCAATTTCTTGGGTGATTCGTCGCTGTTTGGATACAGACGTTTATACGTTTTCAGTGATTAAATTCTCGGTTCACAATCAGAACAGTAAAACCTGTGCACTGATCCATGCCTTCCCTGGATCACCTGCGGTAACAGCACCCTCAATTGTCCGGCTAGGAAAGCACAGAGAAATTTGAATGTTTAAAGAAGTGCATTTTCAAACCATGGCACATGAGTGGGATGTCAAATAATTCTCATACTTTAACCACTTGCCCCTGGGGAGCCCGGCACTGGAGACAAGGTGCCGTGTTTCACGGCCGGGATGCCCTAAATCGGAACTGCTGGTGGGAGTTGCCAATCAAGGTTCATATGCTGTACGGACAGTGCTTGCATTAGTGGAGGTAATCCATCATTGTTTCGAGACAGTACCATTGTTTGTCGCTGCCAGCACCATCAGCGGGGACAAAAGCCCTCCAGCGATGAGCGATACAATACTGCTGCATGCTCTTGGAGTTTGGCTGCATTTAGTAAAAGCAACACCACTGTCCAGCAACACACTGGGCCAATTTCTGGAACAAAGGAAATTATGCAACACCGCACAATGGGGTTCTTTACTGAGCTGCAGGCTTGGCCGCAATAATCAGGCGTAAATGAAGTTGCCTGTCAGAATAAACTACAATGTAGCCACCAGACAGTCAATCATGTGGGTGTACGCGCCCCGTTAATGAAGATATGAAGTTTTGAAGAATTTTGAAAACGGAAAATCATGAAAAATCGTACACCAGCCAATCCTGCATGAGCAAACTTCAGCTGGTAAGAAGTGGTTAAAGAAGAGAATGAAGTTCTTGAAAAATTGGCCTCCCTCAGAAAAATTCACCATTTCTCAACCCTTTCAATTCATTACAGACTAACAGCTCTGGAACTGACGGCAGTGGAGACGATATCAGTGAGTACTATAAGCATTCCATGGTTGAGGACCCATGGAAAGACCTCTCACCAATGCCAGCGAGAACAGGAACAGCAACATAGCAACAGGAATGGGTAACCATGACAATGACTTTGTGTTAATTGGCTGACCCCACGGCAGTCTTAACTTTGGCCAGTCTTGCCAGTCTTGGTTCTAGAACTGGCACAGTGGTTCTAGGATTGGCATTTTGGTTCTAGAACTTGGCCCTGTGTATGTATGACCAGGTTATCAATGTACAGAAGACTGTCGGATTCTGTTTGAGTGCATTGTTGCCAATGAATGAACGGATGGTTCCAGAACTGGAACGGTAGTTCCAGAACGAAAACTGTGGTTCCAGAATTTGTCCAGTATTTCCAGAGCTGGTATAGTGATTCCAGATCTGATGCAGAGGTTCCAAAACTGGAAGAGTCCTGGGTTTGCCATATTAGCATGTATACTTGTGCAATGGAAAGTTAGTTGATGGGAACATTCTTAATCTAGTTCCCAGTCCTGTGCATTTGCAACAGAATGCCTTTTGAGCCTTAGTTTCTTACCGGCAATCGCTACTGATGGACACCAATGCACAAAGGAACGGCTAGTTTTATCGCCAAATGTGACTCCATCCACACTGACCTGCAGACAAGCTCAGAAGACCTGGCATTGTCTTTATCACCATTGCTTCTGAATTGAAAACCCCAAGAAAAAAATGCTTCAGTGCCTTTGTGAATGGTAGCACAGAACGGAAGAATTTTGAAGATCTAGAATGGGCACGGTGACTTAAGTGGCAAAAGTTTTTCTTTGTTTTTAGTTTTGTTTGTTGGTTTTGTTATTTTTAAGTTTGTTTGTTTTTTTAAATAATTATTTTAGGGCTTGATCACTTTATGGAGTTTTCAAAACTAAAGTGCCATGGAAAAACTGAAAGTTCTTAAGTAGTATTTTATGTATTTTTTTTATTAATATCCAGGAAGGCGAAAATATTTTGTGTCGGGAGGGCTTTTAAAAAGAGTTTAAATCTGTCAATGGGTGTGAACATTCACAGACACGTATACACAATCACTGGTCACTCCCCTGGGTTCTAGGTTAAGCAGTGATTTTAAAATGTACAGTTGGCTGTCATTAAATAAAATCTAAGCATGAGCAGGCTGTTTTTCAGATTCTGTTGGTAATTAGCTGACAAAATGACAGCAAAACAAGTGATTAAGAAGTCCCATGCCAGGTCTAGCACCCAACCTGCAGTGTTGCATTGGCATTGTTTTCTGAAAGCACCGGTGGAGTCGAACCACCCACCAACGCAGGGCTGGCAGAGTGTGCTGCCCGCTGCGTGGCGTCAACCCGAGGTGCTTTTTTGTTTCAGTCACAAAGCAAGCAACAGCGGCTTCTACGGGGTGCAGAACCAGAGGCATGACGTCACCCTCTCTGGCCACCCCCCCCGAAAGAGTTCCCTGCAGCTCTGAAATCAGAATGCAGTCAGCAATGGACCTGTATACAACTCCAAATGGGGTATCCTTCTTGATGTTTGAAAAGATGCCGTTATGTTTACGCAAAACTCACTTCTATTGAGGCTTCAAAATTTTCTTTTGTAAAAAACCATTGCTCTCTTTGACAGTGTCAATGTCGTGTGGTAATTAAGCCAGGTTTGTTTTCAGTGAGTGTTATAGTCCTTGGTCGGTGAAGCAGATCACTTCTAACGGATGTAAAACTTCAATTCTCTGGTGTACATTTGTCTCAATTTGCGTCATAAAATATCAAACTTGTCTTAAAGCCTCAAACAACCCCCCTCCCCGGAAAAAGACTTCACTTAAAGTTCCTGTAAGCCTAACTGTCCAAGGGTATTTACACCATCCACCAGAAAGTGTCCGGGGGATTGGGCAGGATTGAGGAAGCCAGAGCCTAGCCATTAACAGCTGGTAGCCATGATGGTGCTAGTACAGTGCAAAGAACTTGCCATTGTCTTCCCGAGTAGTGAAAGATTTGGGAAGAGTTTAGAAGTTCTCGAGCGAGAAGAAAATGTCAATGGACATCAGGGCTATTATTCTTCCGACCAGGCGAGGTACACGCACAGTGTGCACCTTGTGAATGTTGTTTCTGACATGCTGTTATGTCAGATCACTTGGAAATGGGTCACTGAATGTACAGTTTTTAAAATGACGTTGTGTGCATTGCCATGGTTACACCATACAAAATATAGAAAATGCTAAAATATCGTAATGTCATCCTTCGGTTACGTGCATACAGTCCATCGAAATTTGCCTGACATATTGTATTGAGCGCCCGCATCGACTTAAAAATTATGGAGCAACATTATCTGGTCTCAGACTGCGCTGTGCTGTAGCGACAAGCGGTTTTGTTTGAACTGAATTGTTCTCCATCCTATTCATGTGTACAGGAGAAAGCTGCTAGTGTCCGTACAAGCCCGACTTCCTTGTTTAACCTTAGGCCAGAAATGCCTGACCCCCATCCTCTGTGGCTTAGCCAAGTGAGAGGAATATCCACATTGTTTCTGGCGCACTTTCTGAGAGGTACTAGTGCTGTCGTCCGACAGTTTTTGGCCGATAAACCTGTAAAAGGTGTCATAGTTGAGCTTTGTTGAGGGTTTGGTATCTTAATTCCGAACTACACGTACATCAAAATATTAATAGGAATCTAGAGGTTGATTCTGTAATTGGGAAAACATGCCCCTCTTAGTGAAGTTCTGCAGTGCGAGACCCTAGTGTCCTTGAAGAATTCTTCATCAAGTCTTGTGTGTGCCCAGTAATGAAAATCCAATTTAAATTATTCCAGACTTACAGCTGTCCTTCCATCCGTCTACGTTTATCTGAAGACACATTCCTTACCTTCTCTCTTCTTTGGAACTGGCAGAAACTGTCACCTATTTGTTGCTAGGATGTTTTCCACCTCCCACTGATGTGTGTTGCCATGGAGACAGGTGCCGGATGATGCCCGACAACATTTGATGTGTCGGAAATACTGAATCCAGTACCGCTGGTTTATGCTTTTGATTTTAATTTCAAATCAACGTGCCACAAATTTGGTTTTTTTTTCCGTCTCTGTTTCTGCAGTACAGTCTATGTGTTTTAACCGATTTCATCTCCAATGCAGCAGAGCACAATTCAAGTGACTCTTTCCCTCAGGCAACACAAGAAAGATGCCATAAACATAAACATGAAACTTTTCAAAATAGGTATTTTTAACGACAAACTTTTTTGTGTGTCTGTGGAAGTTGCCATGGTCGTCTAATCTATTTTTCACTTCAGAAAGTCATCTTCAAACACACAAATTTTTTTTTCTTAGGTTGAGCATACAGCTGCCATGTGACAAGATAGCTGGAGAGGTCTGGCTTAGCAGTCAGGGTCCTGGTGTGTGGCCACAAAATTGCACGAGCAATGTTTTTTTCAGGCTGACGTTTGTAGGGCCCAGAGGGACCTGCAGAAGTTGTGTCCCTGAGTAAGGCAGCTTACCTTAAGATTCTTTTTCTCTCGCGTAATGGGTGCTCACAAATGCGGCATCACTTATCAGTGTTCTAAGTCCAGCGGGCAGTGATTCCTTGGGGGGAACAGGCGTTTGCCAAGTTTGAAAGGATTTATGGGCATGATGAGCAGGGGTAATCATCTTGCCCTTCGATATCAGTGAAGCGACCTCTGTACTGATGACGCCATGCTTTGTTTATGTGTCGGCTTTTCTATGGTGCTCAGTGGACCGTGGGCCCCCATTGGCTCCATAGGAAAGTACGTGCGTAAACAAATGCGACATCATCAGTACACAGGCCCAATGTCCTAACGTCAGCAGGCAGAATGAGCATCTGAAGATGCCGGACAAGGGGAGGGGAAGTCAGAGTTAATAGTTATTACCATTTTCACTCCGTTTATAAATTAATCTATTCAAGATTGGTTCCACACCCCAATGCAGTGTATGTACATTTTAGCTCAATGGACCGCAGTCAAAACAGTACATGTACCTGTGTTACCATGCCTGTCTGGGTTCCAGTTTGTCCTTTGCCGATGTAAGTTGTGCTTGCGGCTTTCCCAGAACCTTTCTACAGACTACAAGCTCAATAACGCTAAGCATTTGGCTATTGTTGCTTTATGGAAAATATCATTCATGCAACCGTGTTCTCACTTGAGGGGAAGGGGGGGACAGTAATAGCCCGTCAGTCAGTTTTAGGAAAAAGTGAATTTAAAATGAAAAATCTGGGGCAGGCTGCAGGACTTATAACGGTGGAACGATTCTGCGCCTTAATTTTGAATCGGCAAGGTTCAAATGCACATTAGTTCAAACAATGGGGATTTTTTTTTCCTCCCCCGGGGATTTTTGAAAGGAAGTTGTTTAACCCACCTCCTCAGAATGAGTGCAAATTATATACATGCGTTGACATTGGAGGAGTCGGCACTTTTTGAGGTTAACGTCTGGAAAGCCATTGGGGCAAATTTGTTCGTCAAGTTTTGAAAAATCTTTTCATGACATCTTGACATTTCCAAGCAAAACTGTTTACTTTTTTTCACAGATACGCTGGAAAATATTTCCATATTCATCGGGTTTAATTTCATTTTTGTTCCTTATGTAACATTCTTTTTTTTAACTAGCTTTTGTTACACTTGAACCGTTTATGAAGACAAGCTTAGTCACGTTATTGCTATTCAAGTGGTTTACAATTCCCTATTCAAAGGACAACTTGGGACTTAGAATTTATTCATGACAACGGGGCATTTACACGACTACACTTGCTGTAGTCAAGTTTGTTATTTCTATTTGTGTAAATCTAACCAGTAAAATCATACATGTATTTGTGTAAATCATCTCCCTTTACTACTGGTTTCAATTTCCTTCAATTCAGCACAGAAAGACTGGTTTTGACTAGCACTTCAAAATATGAAAAGTTCTTGCCCTAGGGTACTACACTACAGTGTCAAAGTCGAGTGCTTCACAAGTACTTAAAGTTGCCTCACAACTCATCACTAGTCTCCAGAATAGCACACCAATGAGAACAGTCTCAGTGCTGCTCATATGCTGTTCACAGTGAAAGCACGTCCTGCGATGACGTGAAGTACTAATGAAATACTCGACTTCAACGCTAGTACTTGAGCTAAGTCCTACCTTTCCATGACTTGCTCCGGCAAGTGGCTTGTTTATTTTTCCCCCTCACTGCAAGGAAAGCTGTGACTGCAGTAACAAGTTTGCTTCTTTCAGTCTGCTACAGAAGTCCCAAGCATGGAAAAATCCTACATTCGGGCCTCCATCCCCAGTCCAGCACCTGTCCTTGTTTGTGTTTGGAGCTCAGATCCCATAAGACATGACAAATCCATTACAGGAAGGAATTCCGCTTAGCTTCTTTGTGTGTCATCCATACAGGGGGGTTTCACTTGTACACTTCACGAAGGCAAAATTCTTTTCAATTCTATCCACAGAGAGCTGTGAACTTTAATCTTGTCTCTCTTGCTCCATCTGAAGACCGCAGTTCCTCGCATCCAAAGGTGTCACATGTCATAATTCCTCCATTTTTTAACCTAACTTACCTGGGGCTTCTGTCAAGGAAGTCTCATCTCATATTTATTGATTCCAATTCAGTGAATGTCATGCAATGCATGAATAACAATTTATATCAGCATAAATTAAAATACATTTGCATAATTTATTCCAGGTGCTGGGGGTGTGGAAGGTACCAAAACAGAAGCACACTGTTGCTTGATCTGCCTTGCTCACAACATAAATTATTACAAGCTTGTTCCGTAAGTGTTCTAACTTTTGAAAACACACCCACAAATATTTAGCAATTTGTTCTTTGATATAAATACCTCGTTGTATCCTCCACACCCCAGCAGAAAAAATGGAACAGTCCAAACTACATGAACAGACTGATGCATGTTGTGTAGGGAAGCCACGTCTGAATGACTTAGCAGTGGCTTGCAATATGTGCAAAGCTATGGAAGCCGCTGGCAAGTGGCTACTGCCACTTCCCGCAGACATGCATGCTACTGTTAGCCACAGCCAGTTGAGTCGGACAGTAGCAAAACCCTTCCTGGCCAATTAGCACATTTCTGCCAAATTTGAAATTTTAAATAGACTTCGGGGAAAAAATGTAACAGTTACAAAACAATCCCATACCAAATCCAAGCACAAGACAAAAGACTTATTATTTTAATATTAAAAACAAAAAAGGTTGAGGATTGAAAAAACCAAACCACAACTGTATGATTTTTGCAGTGTCTTTTACAAATGGTACCACCTCCAAACACAAAAACCATGGATTCAAGGGAAAAAGTTGTAGAAGGCAGTTTTTCGCACACAGGAAGCTTGCAGTGTTTCTTTATGACACATATTTGAAGAAAAACACCAACCTTGCCATCAGTGCAGTACACTGTTAAGCACAATACACCAATCAAATCTGCAGTTTCAAATGCAAATCCATTACATCAGATACTTTTACATCATAACAAATCAAAATACAAGCAACGCATTCCAATGCAACATGCTTCAAATGATACTGAAATAGTACTATCTATCCAGGGTGACGAAATCAAACCATAATATGGAAATAAACTCCATTGACACTGTCACACTGTCCTTTAGAAAAGCAGACATTTAAAGATTGCTTTTTCAGGGAACTTGATCGCCATATTTATGTTACATCAGATACACACGAAGTCAATAAACATGTACCAAGGTACACTACGTTGAACGTCCCTACCATACACAACCATTATCTCCCGAGATAACTTGATTTATTAGATGAAAGGTTAAACCAGTCCCGCTGATTACCTGTTACGTCTTACCAGCTCAAAAACTTAAAAATGCCATTACCCTAACAAATCTCAGACAATTTTTGGATATTCAGGGAGTAGTGTGATTTGATGGTTACGGGAACCCAATAGACATTACATCTGAATATTTGAACATTTCTTAAAGCAATGCTTTTGTTTTCGACAGGCAAGATCAAATATATACTGGGATGTACAATGGAGGTGACATGTAAAATGCTGGATTGGGTACTGAACAACCACACCCTTGGTTAATTGAAATTCCAAAGCAAAAAGCTAGCATTTTATACCACCTTACATTCTGCCAATGACCGACTGAAGAATATGATGTAGTTTATTTCAGATCTATTTGCGCTTTTGATGTGCTTTTCAATTTGTTCTTTTGTTGTAAATTAGACTCTTCTTTCTTGTGTGAAGAAAAAAATTATTTCTGACAGTTAATATTTCAGAAGTTTATCTAATGATGTATCAATCATATAAAAAAAAAAGACATGTACAGGTTTCAAGGGAACACGGCCACTATCCCAGCATGAACGAGATAGTTGGTCAAGTCTTGTGTCTGTTTACCCCATGAACCTTTTCAAGGAATTTTCTTTGAAGTGGTTGAACGAATGGGCTTTTTGCATGGTTGAGGGTACACATTACATATGCACATGACGTGGTTATGACCCCAGGAAAGGCCACCCACTTCTTTTCAAAAGGGAAGCCCCGCCCCCAATGGGGAAATCCCATCAATCGGTTGCCTTCAGGAGGTGCGAAATGCACACTAGATGTAGGATTCATAATTTGTACATGTATCTTGATCACAATATACCAGCTTCATTTAGTTTGTCCTATCACAGCGGATGTTAATTTTGCTCTCACTGTTCATATCAAGACAGGCCTGGAATTTCAAACGAGTCTGTGTTTTGCATTGACTTGGCCAAAATTGGGTGCAAGGATGCACTCCGAACCTCAGCGTCTGCTCTGCAGGACAGAAATGTTCATTAGTTCACTGTCTCTTCAAGTTTTCTATGCATGTACTTGGTAGTTTTTCTAGGACATCACACTTTACTTTGGACATAATTTGCGGAAGTGTATTTTGGGGAAAGAATTTTAAGACAATATTCACTGTAAAGAGAAGCATTTTTTTTTTTTAGTCACAGCCTTTTATTTCTCTGTACATGTCGGTACACTTTTACTTGCACTTTCATCACATGGTCACAAAAGTATGCTAAAATAGTAACTACCCCCTCACAAATGAACTAAACTAAATGCTATAGAAGTGTACATGTACCTTGATGCAATGTTTTTGTTGCTATATGAAACTACTCCCCATCAGTAAGGGCCGATACATCATAAGCTTTATATACAAGTATGTACTTGTGTTTCGATGCACTGCCAACATTGGACAAAAAGTGGGCTCGTCTCCGCATTAATCCCACCATTTCAATTGACACACGAGCTTTACCTCTGAACACAATAACCACTGGATTTGTAAACGTGCACTGCCACAGTCGCATGTGTGAAAACTAAGTGGGTACACAATTTAACTTTTGACCCAAACAGCAGTGGGGGTCAGTTATGCATATATATATAGTCGACTCTCGTTATAACAAAGTTGCAGGGACCAAATTACTTTGTTATAACCTGAATTTTGTTATAAGAGGAGTGGAAACCACAAAGAAAAACATAAGAATTCAAGAATGTGGGATTCTCAGAATTTGTTCTCCATAACAGTATTTTGTTATAATAGTGTTGAGAGTCATCTGTACCTATTAAGATAAAAGAGCCAGAATATTTTGAAATTATCAGTTTTTGAATGTCTTTTTTGAGGACAAATCAGGCCAAGTTCGAGCTGCATCAAGATTTAGTTCTGAAAAAAAAAAAAAAGTATTAAAAGTGGGGGGCCATTTTTCCTTCCAATTCCCTTTGCTTCAGAAGTACAATTTTTCTTACGTACAATGACTCAAGGATTTCCCTTTTATAACGCACGTGCACCTTTCCTGACAAAATAAAAACAGTAACACTACTGTGGGAAGAACTGGGGCTTTTCTCTCTCTTCATGTCTTGAAAGATGAGGACATTTAATACTCACATCGATCGCCAAGGATGAGACACTTCAAAAGCCTTCCGAGACTAGCGGATCTTGTCATGTTGACAGTGCAGCGATGATGACATTCATAGCTTTAAGCTCAAAGTGACAAGCTTTCCCCAGAAATAATTACAAAAATCGTTACGGCCCCTTGCTAGAGGGCTCCAGCGACTCCTTATACCGTCTAATATAATATTAACAAATTGTGTGTTTTACGTGGAGATCAACTTAGACAATATATAAATGCCAAGAGAGGGGGCTGTTTTCAATCTGTGCCAGTCTGTTATGTGTGTGAATTACATGTATAAGGAAAGATTTGAACAACCATCATTCATGTCATTAGAGCATATTTTGAGGATTACATGTAGGCCTATGTCGTACAGAATCTAGAGGGATGTGATGGTCAATCGGCTGTGCTTGTACTGCTTGGGATAACAAACAGAAATGTACAAATAGATGTATAAATACTAATGCAAAGACAATTTGAAAAGTCCTGCGTTGTTTTTTGGTAACATTTGATTTTATCAACAGGAGGGTAAGCGGCCGCGACCAGTTCTTCACTGAAAATGGGTTTTTGGGGGGGGAGGGCACAAAGACAGCGGGGATAATAATCTTTCAGGATTTTTTTTTTTTCGTGCGACACGGGAAATTCATCATTTTATTAACAATGTCCATGTTTTACGCACGATCCGCTGGTCTTTTCAGGGTCCAATGAAATCAAGACTGGTGATACAAGTACGTGTATATAAAATTTAATGGCTTTTTTTTCTTTATAACGCTGGATAGTTATGGCCAGAACATCGCACATATTCTCCTGCACGACCCATGTAGACGTTTCACCAAAAGATGTGGCCTTAACTTTCAAAATCATTGCTCGGGTGAACCCGAGAAAACTTTTAAGTTATAATTTTCTGATGGAAACTACACCTCAGAACAGATCTCCCTTTCTTAAGAACAAAATTTCTCGCCTGGTGCATGTATGCAATATTTCACCAACTAATTGTCCAAAACAGTTCCCTTCAATGCTGCCTCTATCGATGCACGGACTGGATTTCTGCTAAACACGTATAAAAAATTCAAGGACCAAACTCCTCGTGTGTGACGTGGAAAACGCTGGTCATTTTTTCATTTTCCCTTGTTTCTTTTTCTCTGAGAGACAGTGAACCGCGTGTATGACACAATTCAAAAACTTTTACTCGTTTATCTCTGAGCGGAATGGACACTGTAAATGAGGGCCAAAAAAACAAAGAGCGACCTTAATACAAGAATGATAGGAATGCATTATGACACAAATTAAAACTACGTTTCATCTTTGGGCTTTCACTGTTCGCAGCAAACAGCACACTGACTATTAACTTATATAAGATACGGAATATTGACCTGATCAGGGCAAATTCAGCTTTAAGTATAAAGTAAAATAGTACAAATTTAAACACTCCCGCCTATCAGCCTGTCAATCTCTGTCAAAAGCCACTGCGGATTTTTCTCTTTTTCGGCATGGGACATTTTAATAAAAAGCACATTGTTGGTCTGATTACTTTTTAATGAAAAATGTTTCGATTTCATCAGGACAGTTCTTTTGGAATCCCTCTCCAGCTAGCTGTGCGTGGCCAAAATGAGTAAACTGGTCCACAACATAATCACGTTCACATTTTCAAGCATTTAGTAAATATTCATTGCATTTCCCAAGCATATCCACATATTTTGCATTTTACAAGTTGTAGTGACGCTGATGGGTTAATTACTCTTTACTGTGCACTTCGATTTTGTTCTGAACAAGGGAACACAGAATTACGAAAACGATCCGCAACCAATTAAATAGAAATTGTACGGTGACAGCTGAGTATGTATTTTAAGTGGGCAGAGCTAGTTCCAGTTGGAGCTTTGATCAAATGATGGCCCGCCTCTGGTTCGTGGGAAGGGCTCCCCTCCAAATTGGCTCCCTTGGCTCGCTCGCGGTCCCCCGTTGCCGGTCCTGCTTGCCCAGCCCCCACCTCTGTCCTCTGTTCTCTGTTGGTGGTAGCCCCGGAATTCCGATGTCGAACGCTCCTCACTCAGTGGGTGGGGCACGCTGTTGCTCGCTGACAGTCGAGAGTTGAGACTGGAGCTTCCCCCATAGCTGGGGCTGGTCGCACCTGGTTGCACGCTAGCGCCGTTGCCGTAAGAGTCGGGCAGGGGACCGGCGGGAGGTTCCGAGGGGTTTTCGGACAGTGTGGGCGTGACCTCATTGGATCCCCGACCTGTTATACCCAGCTCCGGAAGACCCTGCTGCTTCAGCATCTGCATCAATGCTGCTTTGACACCCGGTGTCACCAACGTGGTCTCCTCTTGCTGGGACTCCTGCTCCACTTCGGGGGAATCAGGTGGTGGGCCCAAGGGTGTCGGGGGCTTCCATCCCTCCCCCTCTCCCCTCTCCCCGACCCTGCCCATCTCAGGGTCTAACGGGGGGGTGCTTGGCCCTCTATGCTGGTACCTAGTATTGTAACTATCATGCGGTTCATAGTCATACTCACCGTAGGTTTTGTTAACAGGACTGTTATATGAGCTGCCTCTAGATACGGTTGGCCTGAATGGGCCACCATCTATCCCACCTTCTGCTACCGGATGGCCTACAGATGAGGCAGCACTCCCAGAGGTAGATGTTCCTGCTGAGCTGTTAGCCACAGAATTGGCCGGAGCCGTGGACTTGCCAAATAGGTTCGACACATATTCCGTCAACGTTGAGGGAATCTCCTGTGGCCTCTCTTTGCTCTTTGCGTCCAAACTGGCAGTGCTGCTGCCGGGATTCTCCTCTATGGTGCCAGCATTTCCCTTGGAAAGGGCCAGCAGGGCAGAGGTGGTGCTGGCCAGGGTTCTCCTCTTTAGCCTGCCTCCCGCTGCTGCTGCCGCCACCTTTGGTCTGGCTGGTGGCCGCCGCGGCGATGAGCAGCTGCATGTTCAGGTTCTCCAACAGCTTGATGGTGCTCTGGTCCACCTTGACGTTCAACGCCTCGGCCAGCTTGTCAACATCCAAGGTGGGCTGGGATTGCAGGAGGCTCATCAGCCCCGCCAGTTGCTTCTCGCTGGACTTCAATCCCCCACCACCGCCGCTGCCTCCGGCCACATCTTGCGGCTGCGGCTCTGGCTCCCCGCCGTCGCTGGGCACACTGCGGCCACCCTTGGATCCACCGGATCGGGGCGCTGACTCCCCCTCGCCGCTTATCCCTGGGATCTTCACATTCTCGTCGGACACGAGACCCAGGCCCATCTCTTTCCGCTTGGAGATGGAAGACTGGGATTGGGCAGCCTGTTGTTTCTCAAGACGGCGACGCCGCTTACTCCAAAGCTCATGGCAGTCTTGTCCGCACGGTAAACTGCAATTTAACAACATGGCAAACCACAGCAATTAATTACACTGTCTCAAAATGAATAACTCAACTTGTACACCATGTTTTTGTAAAATGACTCAGAACCAATTCATCAAGTGGATCCTGCTTCACATTGGGATTGGGTCTGGATTGGGTCTCGTCTGAGTAACATGGACTAGATTGCGTCAACACTTCTTCACACATAAAAAAAATCACACGAAATATCCACTGCGGTTGAAGAGTGATATGGCTCTATTCCCATCGGATTTGACCACGTTCTCAAAATTTGAACTCTTGAAATGCACATCGCATGTCCAGGCTCTTGGAATTTCCTGGCGTGGATGTTGTTGCCTTCTCCTGGCCGGCCATAAAATGTCTCCATCCTTGCTTATTTCCGCGGATTTTTAACTTGAGAATCGGTCTTGTCAAGGATTGCATCCGAATCGGACCCTCTTTAGACAATTCATAAGTTGCATATGTCCCACTAATACACATATGAATATGGATTTTTCATGGGCGGCCAATAATGATCAGGTGGTTGCCGGATGCTGTTTACACATACACAAGGTCTGTGCACTTCCGTGCATACCCTGTATACACGTGAACATACATGTACATTCGCAGCTGTTTTTCTAGCATTATGTACACTCGCAACCATTGAACTACGATTTTTGGGGGAAGCGTGTCATAATCGTCAAAACCCGTATTTCGTGGGGGAGAAAACTTCAAAAATTTCCCGCAGGAAATATGGGTAAATCGTACTATGTGCAGTTGGCAGGTCTGATTGTGGACTATGCCGCTGAAGTTGAAGGGAAACAGTTTTAAGTGGTGATGCATCTAAAAATGAGTGCAAGGAACACAACCGAAGTCATGGAGAGTCACAAAGGATTGCTGCCACTCACTTTGGAGGGGTTATCTTGCTGGGGTCGACTGTCTTCAGCCAGCTACAGTTCAGGGCGTCCATAGCTGAAATACGTTTCTCGGGGTCAAGGGTCAACATTTTATCCAGGAGGTCTAGTGCTGGCTTGGGCAACCTGTTGTCATTGAAACGGATCGTTACCATGACAAGTAACTGCAATAAAAGTCTAATTTCCCATTTCATCAAATCATTAATAATTATAAAAGTACAAAAAATTCCACTCACATGGAAGCAACCGAAATTTAATCCGTATCTTCCAAAATCGTCACAAACAAGTTCTACTTTACGAAATATCATTTACATGTATGCTTACCTTGTTGCTGACAAGCTGACATGAAAATTGATTAAGAAATGGAATTAAATCCTTTAATCTTTTGTTCACTGACTGAAATCCGCAGTATTTGTTACTGGTAAAAGCAAACACTTGAGATCGAGGTTTTCGTCCGGAGGACAAAATCACACAAACTGCATTTAGTCAGGATGATCACAAACAAGCATAATTCTGTGATGAGAAGGCTTGACAGATTGGCTCCTGAATTTTTAAGAGAGAGAGAAAAAAAATCTTATCTGAGCGTGGATTTTGGGCCAAGAAGCACTCACAGAGCAAACTCATCCCGCAGCTTCCGGTTGTAGTTCTTCTTGGGCTTGATGGTGTGGAAGAGCGGCAGCCGGATCACCTCTGGCCAGACGGCTGGCGCTGGCGTGCCGCAGATCCGGCTGATCAGCTCCAGCTGGGCGATCTCCTGGTTGGCCTGGAAGATGGGCTTGCGGGTGAAGAGCTCGCCCAGGATGCAGCCACAGCTCCAGACGTCCACGGCGGGGCCGTAGCGCTCCTCGCCCAGCAGCAGCTCGGGCGGCCGGTACCACAGTGTGATGACCTTGTTGGTGTAGGGCCGGGACTTGTCATCGGCGTGGTAGAGCCGCGCAAGACCAAAGTCGGCCAGTTTGATCTGCCCCTGCGGTTGAAAACTAAAGGTTAATGCTGGACGTCCCAGATGTTAATGCTGCATGCCCTAGATCCTTCAAAAATTTCAATGAAATTTGGAATGGTTTGGAGAATAGAGGAGGGTAGAACTTTATCACTATTACTCTACAAGGATCTTGGAACTTCTGTTAGGCTCAAGGACACAGAACGTGCCTTTGATTGCTGCAAAGTGGATGAATTTGGAGGATTAACCCTAACCCTCCTCAATCCTTCACCTGTTGGAGGACTGAGGAGTGTTAGGGTTAAGAAAGGTTCTTTGCAAGAATGTCTATGAAGTAAGAAGGTGGGCTTGGTTCTTGCCCTCTGCATGCAATCATTGTTGTCAGTGAACTGAACAAGCCAAAGTCCTCTGAAGACTTTCTGCATGGCATGTCTGGGGGGGGGTATAAATTGGTATGTCCTTCTTTGGGGACAAATCAAATGCTAACAACTGATTTTGGCAAAAGCTGCTTAGTGAATTAACTCTGAATTTCTGATAAGAAATTTCTTACTTTAATACCAAATGGTCTACGGTCTTCTCTTGACAAACAAACCACACATCTTCAAATCACTGTGTGAACTGATCGGGGCCTTACTTTGTTATTCAGCAAAATGTTGGAGCACTTTATATCCCTGTGTAAGAAGTTCCGACTGTGACAGTAACTCAACCCGTCCAACAGCTGTTTCATGAAGCTACGGATGTGCTCCTCCGTGAAGCTGACCAGGCCCGACTCCAATAGGCCCATCAGGTCATGGTCCATGTACTCAAACACCAAGTAGAAGGCACCTGCATTCAAGGTCAGAGGTCACACAAGGGTGGAAGGTCAACGGCAGAAGTTCATAATACAGTTCTTAGAAAAACCAGATTCCTCGTCATTATCCTTGTATTCCGGCACCAATTAGATGACACCCATGTTAAGTTCAGTGGCAAAACTAGGGTCATCTGGTATATGGGTGGAAAATCAACAGATCCTGGGGTAGAGGTTCCAAAATCCTTGAGATTGAAAAAAAAAAACCCTGATTCCAGATCATGCGCAATGAACCTAATTGCCAAGTTTGAGGCATGTGCACAAAGGTCAAAGGTCACACTTTGCACAAGGGTACAATGTAAAACAAAGAAATTAACATAATCTGTAAAACTGATGAAATCTTACTCCTTTTCATGATCTTTACAAACAAACACTACTATGCACTACATTCACAAGGCATCTGTGTGAAGGTCAAAGTTAACAGGTCAACTGTATCTGTGAAACTGTCATGCTCCAGGTGCATTTATTGACAGGGTTGGCGAAGCGTGGGTAAGTCACCCACACAAAGGTCAGAGTGCATGGTGTTTTAACCCCAAACAGGTGGCCTTGTTTTTAACATAGACCTGTACTGAGACATGTAACATGCAGGCCTTGCACTAAATTTTGTTCCTGGCTAGCCCACTGGGCTAGTTCAATGGATATTTTACTAGCCCGTTTAGAGTTTTACTAGCCCGTATATAAATGATAAAAACCCAAAATTTGTTATCAGATTTCCAATACAGAATTTGACATTTCGGAAAATAAAAGGCTGATGGTGTAAATAAAGAGGCATGTATGTTACTTAAAAGTTGCTTGAGTCACCCGTCACGGAGCCGGGATCAAAATCATCTCTTTGCTCCGTCTTTCCTCTCATTTGGATTTCTTACGTTTGGCAAAAATTCCCACTTTTTGCTTACTTTCTGACCTCTGCACGTGCGCGGTGAATGAGAGAAAACTTTTTCCAATCAGACGAGGGTGCTGTTTGCAAGCGGCTTTATGTATACTTGGTATCAAACGCTTTCCATGACTCCTGCAATGCCTAGTATAGCTAGTTGTGGTCAGTTAAGGTCAGAAAAATTGATAAGGCCCCCCCTAAAATACTTCTGGTTTCGGTTTCCCGACCGACCCTAATTTTTCGGAGCGACCCTAAAATTTTTTAAGTTAGAAAAACCAATTTACAAAATAAAAAATATATTAAAAATTAATGTCTTTTCAGTCTTCACCAAACACGTTTCAACAACCCTTTCTCATGTTAAAACGCTTGTTTTTATATGTTTTCTTACTTACATTTGCAATTTTTGAAAAGAAACTTCCGTCATTTTCACGAGTTCCACTCGGGTTTCGCTGCCGCGGTGGTGAAAACAAATGCGCAAAGCTCAATGCATGAAAGTAAAGCTGCACTGGTTCCCACCACGCTGCGCCCATGCAAAAGAACACGTGATGGAATGTGCTAACCAGTCTTCACGTCCCAGTCACGAGTTGATTAAAACTACATCGGTGTCGTACACACATGAACCTATACAGCTGCAGGTTGAAAAAACATTGATGTTGCAAGAGGATTTCTTCAAGTTCATTCACAGAACTTGGTCTCTTGTTTATGTATTTATTTTCTATGCTCACGAGTTCCTGCCACAGCTCCTAATTTATCGCCCGCTGGTCTGGATGCATCAGGCACACGTACTACGCGATATACGGACATTGCTGGCCAGTTTGCCGTCGTGATTACCTGACTAGCATTATGTGATTTGTCCGTAATTCTTGTGATTTGTCGACTGCAGAAATTGTTACATATATCAAGACATGTTTTTATCACTGTTTGAGACAATTTTTGAAAGCTTTCATCCCCATTCAGGCCATTACATCAGCACAAAAAAATGACAAAATTCCGACCTACCGATACTATTTTTGAGAGGCATGTAATCGGAAGAAGTGGCCTAAACAGTGAACGAGAATAGTGTACACGTGCGGTATTGCACCGAACCATGTGCTATGTTATACAGGAACTACAACCCACCAGTCCTACTCTGTTCGTGGCGTTCACAGTCGCTTATCGCCCTGTCCTGTGAGCATCGCGTTCCAAAAACACAAGTAAAAACACATCCACAACAACCCAGTTTTTGCAATTTTGTATTTATCATCACGAAAAGCATTATATATTTTGATCTCTGTTTTAACAGGTAAGCTTATTCTGAATTTTTCACTAGCCCACCGGGCACCAAGGAACCAAGTTTAGGAAGCCCGGAGCATTTTTCGCTAGAATTTGTAAGCCAGGCTAGTACTATTTCGAGGCCTGCATGTACCAATGGCACTCAATCAATATAGGTATTTACTGTGCACGGTTACACTTGAGTGGGACGTTGACAAGTGTAAGCTAGGTCCAAATCTACTGGCTATGGCTGGGAGTCACAAACGCATCAATGGGTTGTGGCTGAAGCTGTTCAGCAGCAGCTTCCAAGAGGGCACATGTTATTTCTACATGCAGCCGCAACACGTGGCTTCTTTTTTGTCAGATGGCGCCTACCTTTGTCTTTCCTAAAATCCAGGGCATCCTGTTTGTCCGTGACGATCTCCCTGAGATTGACGACGCTGGGGTGGTTCAGCTGTCGCAAGATTTTAATCTCCCGAACTGCCGTGATGGGGAAGCCCTCTTTTTCGTTGTCAGTGCGCACCTTCTTGAGTGCCACAAGTTCCCCTGGAGCCATGGATTAGAAAAAAAGGTACTGTCAATGGGAACAACTGTAATGAAGTCTCTGAGCAGTTTCAGAAGTCGTTAAGTGTCAAGAGTTAGTTGATCCTAATTTCTCCTGGCTGAAGTCACCCTCCCACCCCCCCAAAAAAAACACCTTTATCTGTTGTTCAGTTATTGGGCTCTGCAGTTTTGAATCCTGAATGTATGGAATAGGATGCCAAAAGTTTAGGAAAAAGTAAATTTGTACTTGCCTGTTTGTTTGTCCTTGGCTTTGTAGACCTGCCCATATGTGCCCTCGCCAACCTGATCCACTATATCAAAGACATCCACACAGCGCTTGCCCCAGTTCAGCCCACTGGCCATCTGCTCCACCCTCCTCCGCTTGATCCTCTCCCTCTCCCGGCTGGTGGGTTTGACCTCCCTGGCCACCTTGGGATGGGCGACGACCGGTGTCGGCCGCGGGGAAGTGGCCACCACTGCAGCCGACTTGGGCGCTGCTGGCGGCAGCGGGAGATCCTTGATGGATGGACGCGGCTTCTCCTCCTTGACTGGGGCTGGTGGGGTGCTGCTGATCTTCTCGTCGATCATGGGCGGGAGAGGCAGAGGAGGGAGGGTAGTGACCTGAGGCAGTGGCTTGGCGGTGGCGGAGGCTGGGGAAGGCAGCGGGGGAACTTCTTTCTTAGCCTCCGGCTTGACCTCCTTCCGGATCAGGAGGTTCTGGAAGGGCTGATTGCGGCTGCCCCCAGGAACCTCCACAACCGTCCGTTGGGGAGACTCCTCTGCCTTGACCCGGCTGAGGGCCGCCTCGTTCTTGATGGTGACCTTGATGGGGCTGGCTGCGTAGGGCTTGGTGGAGGGCTGCGAGGAGGGTGATGGGGTGGCAGGTGATTGGACTTCCTGTGACAGGACCTTCCTGGAGGTTGACCCTTTGCTCGCCGGTGGGTTACTAGCCACCTTGCTCTCTGCCAGCCGTTTGGTGTTCTTCTTGAGCTCAGAGCCCAAGCCCATTTTAAACTTGGCTGTGGAAAAATCAAAGCTACGGCTGCGACTGCGGCGCCGCTGGAAGCTGCGGGAACTGGATCGGGATCGGGAACGGTATGGACTTCTGCTTCGGCTCCTGGATCGCCGTGACCGCTTCCTACTAAAAGAAGTGTTAGCAGGATACAGATATACATATACATGTACACGCAACATCAAATATACAGTACAATTGCTGCTTTCTGATATCGTTTCTCGCCAAATTATCTCAGAGAAAGAGCATAAATTAAACAATACCACCAACACTTTCATCAACAATCATGTCAAATCAAAACCTGCCATGAGACTTATGATCAATGACAAATAGTTCATGCAGATGTACATTACATAATCCCTCATCTATGCACTGAGAGAAATAATCCGGTCTTTTGAAATCAATAACAGTTCCATTGTATACATTCACTACCACACAAATGCTTGATGTTTTCATCAAACTTTAGGTAACGAAACTGTAACTTATCAATACAGTACCAGCTGTCATTCCTTGGAGCAAGCATACACTACTGTTGTTACGCCTGGGGAGAGATCAGCCTGAAGCCTCCAGAGATGAAATACCGCAGACACAGGTGGTTTAGAGACCTTGATCCAGGATTATAAACCCTGAAACTTACCTATAACTAGGACTTCTACTGGAGGATCTAGATGACCTACGTCGCCTGGAAGGGGTTGGACTAGGACTACGCCGTGACCGTTGGCTCTTTTCGGAGCGTCTCTTCCGAGCAGGGCTCGGGGATTTGTGCCTTGGAGAACGCGACCGCCTCCTCTCCACCATACGGACTGGTTCTGGTGAGGCCCTGTAGGCCCTGGGTGGGTTCGTGGGTGACTGGTGCCTATAGGCCTTGGGGGGCTCTGCTGGGATGTAGGGCTGCCTGGAAGCCCTGCCGCTGGAGCGCCCATGCACCAGCGGCGAGTTGCGCTCTTCCTGCCTGTTCCTGTACTCCTTCAGCGCCGTGGCCGGCGAGACGGCACGGTGGACGGCAGGGGCTTTCGTCTCCGAGACAAACTGGACAGGCGGGGAAGGGCTAAGGTATTCCTCCTCGTCGCTGCTGATGTCATCGTAGCCGACCAAGGATTTCACAGGGGGCACCTGCTCCCGCCGATCGCGGTCCCGCTCTCGGTCGCGCTTGTGTTTGTGCCGGGAGGATTTCTTGTGCTTCCGGGCCCGGTTGGGGTTTGCAGGGCTGTCGTCGCGATAGCCCCGTCCACTGCTGCCAGACTGTCTTGGCCCTGGCATTGTTCACTACAGCATGTGCATACAGAACAGCAAAGATGTCTCCAAATGCTTCACACACTACACCTAGAAAAAACCAAATGGTAAAACCACATTAATAAGGAGAAGTATTAATGAGATGTCCTCTCACGACACAATGAACTGGATTTGCAGATTCTTACACTGCATACTAAGTTATTCTGTGACCACTCTGTGATCTCCTTTACGACAATCTCACATGGAAGGTATTGTTTAGCCCCTAAATGTATCCATGTATTCTTAATGTTTCATATGGGCTTAAGAGAAATTATTTACAGAACATAACAGCATCGACAAGCTAGTTGCCCAGCACTATCAATTTGCAACTGGCAGTTAATTTCAAGCATTTGGGAAAATTTGAACATCTACACAGCCTATGGTGACTGAATTGCGGGCTTGGGAACAGAAGGTTGAAATATGCACACTCCACACTGTCTGCTGCAAATGCCAGATCAGTTTGTAACAGGAATACAGGTCGAACAGGTTGTGGGTTAGACCGTGGGTTGTTTTCAGTCATGCATAAATTCATGCCCGTGTTATATTGGTGAAATCCTCCATACGGGTACTGCTCCAGCATAGCATCGACTGTAATGAGAGGAATTGCCGGAGGATTTTGAAGGATTGAGGCAGTGGGCACCCCTCCACAGAACATATTCCAGAAATATTGGAGGATTGATGCAGTACCCAATTTTTCTCCTGGGGGCAGTTGGAGGCTTTTGAAGGATTGGATTAAGGGTGTATCCTCTGAAAAGGGCCTCGGCGGTTAGGGCTAAGAAACGTAGCCTGTACAAAACAATCAAACATTTAATGAGTAAGAAACCGCATTTCTTTGTAAGTGTTCTCATTTATGGGGAATCCAGAAAGCAACAAATGCTAGTTGGATTTGATGGGATAAATAGCTCAACCTATGTCCAGCTGTGGGTTGTGTTTGTGAGCGATACCTCATTTCTATGATGTACACTCGCTCAGGGGTGCGTGCAGGCTTCTGCACCTGGGGCATGGAGCGCGCACGACCAATTTTCATTTAAATTTAAGGTCTTCATGTTGGCTCTGGGTAACCAGTTGACAAGGGCTTCCCTCTTTTTTGTATAAAATGAGGTGAGGAATGTTCTTGTGTATGGAAGGAATATGATTGTTTGACCTTGATTATCACAAATCTGCCAAAATCCCAGATTGGGTTTGCAGTGTGAGTATCTTGAGTCAGGCCAGTCGCTATCACTCGTATTTTACACAAGGCTTGACAAATTAAAGGAACCATGTACATGTAAAAGGATTTTAATCAGCGTTGCATTAAGTCCATCGTAAGTCCTTTCACAAGTCCCTTCAGAGGTCCAGTCACAAGTCCCTTCACAAGTATAGCCACAAGTAACAGGATGAACAATGACAACAGAATGCTTTTGTAACAGCTCACTTGAAGTTGAATAGCTTGTGAATTGGCTTAAGACTGAATGACTTGTGATGGACTTACAGGGACTTGCAGGGAGTTGTGATGGACTCAAATACAACACTGATTTTTACAACTTGAATGCATGTAGCAAAGTCTTATTCACATGTTATAATGACTTTCCACCTTGTTTGTAGCAGTATACGAGGGAGATGTTTCATGCTGATGAAGATTTCCATATTCATGGGCCAAAGCGTTATGTCAGTCAAGGCAGAATAGGAGTGTATCCATGGCTTTGTGTACAACATATGCGTGTTACCCTTTTTTTATATTTTCCTGGAGTGGGTACCACCTCATACTTGATTTTTCATGCGGAACAACCTGTTTGGACAATGATCCCCAAGCTGGACCACGAGAGGGCACAATATACCCAGCAATGAGAGGCTCCTTCGGTTGGAATTTCACGTCGCTGGTTCACAAACGACTATGAAGTGCACGCGTTATGGGCAGTCGCAACAAGCAAAATAAACATTCCTGACCTGCACGGCTCTTTTCAAGTGATGAGGGGGGGTGCTTGTGCTTTTGGCGGAGAGCAGTGACCAATATTCTTCAAAACATTGTTGGGCAATGTTGAAGGATGGATTTGGTAGCATCCATGTGCTCTTTTAACAAGGAAAGCCTTACACATCAAAATGGCGTCCTGGTGCGTACACGCACACAATACGTTGATAAGAGTGTTTCTTTATTAGTTGAAAATCTACCACTTTTATTCACTTCCACTGAAAACAGGTACTTTGATCTTGTTTGTTGCAGCCCACAATATTATGCATGTGTTCAAATATATGCAAAGCTTTCAACCTAAAAATGCCGAGTCATGCAGCTAGTAGTTATAGAGTTACATACATGTACAGGTTCATGTTACGTGTGTACTTGTAAGTAAGGCAGCACCCAAATTGAACACTCTTACATGTATTTGTGGCTTCAGCTGTGACTTGCCAGTGTACCAACGGCAAAAGCCAGAGCCGATCCTGGTGCATCTGGAAGGATGTCGGTGTCAAATCACAACGCCTACTTGACTCTGGGTTTAAGTTGCTTGAAAGAGCAAGAGGAAGGTCTATGGTGGAACTGTACATGACCGTCCAAAGTGCTCAATTCATTTTCTTAATATTATATGTACTGACATAAAGCTGGACAACTATACAAGTCCGCTGTAGCTCTTCTTTTCCCAAGGGGGGCATGTTTTCAGGCTGAGCTGCATGCCATGGGATGAGGGGGTCTCTGGCATGCTCCCGGCCAAAAGTTTAACATTTCTCCTGCATTCTGTGGCATTCTGTGTCACACTGTCTTTGATGCATACATGCACATGTGTATTTTGTTTTGTAACAGATTTGGCGCGTTCTAAATTCTCATTATTATTACTTTGAGAGAAAAAAAGGACTCGTTGAGGATCAGATATTTCCAGCTCACTGTTTACCATTTAATGTCACTAGCAACTGAACACGGTGGTGTATTCCCCATCCCAAAATGTTTAGTATACTGTAGGGGCTACATGTATAATGATCCCAACAAGCCAAACTCCAACACCATGGTTTGTTGGAATCTGTGGGGATGAGTACTGCATGAGTGTACTGGCTGTGTTTTATGTGGAAGTATGCACACCAGAGAGAGAGAGAGAGAGAGAGAGAGAGACCAAGTATTTATGTACATAGTGTACTCGCTGGTGTTCAGATTTGCAAGGATGTGGGAGGAACTAATTCACCCTAGGGAGTTAGGGATATGCTGATGAAATCGATAAGTCTGCCCCATCAGTGGATTGAGCTACACAATCGGTCAATACTCATGCCATCTATCTAAGGCTAAACAAAAAATTAGTTGTGTTTCCTGAAAAAAAATTAGAGTGGTTAGTTGGGTAACATATTTGTTTTTACTCTAAATATCTACAACCCAAAAAATTAAGGTCAGATGATGGTCTGGTATTTTTTGTTTTTTGGGGGAGAGGGATATATTTGCAACAGGTACCGCTACTAAGTCAGTGTCAGATTCATACTGTACATGTGCACGTCAACAATATCAGCACTGTGATTGAGTAGTAAAGCAGCTGGTTGTTGTAATACAAATACACAAGAGCCGTCCATCTCATGCAAAAAAAAAATAAAAATAAAAAAATAAAACAATACAATGTACAGGACAATGTACACAAAATTAGGCTCAGGGCAAGGCACCGTAAGTTTTACTATTTTACTGATTTGTTAAATAAAAAGATACAGGTTTTGTGTGATTTTCTAGGTTGGGTCGGGTAACCAGAAACACAGCCAATTTTTTGTTTGGCCCAATGAAATTCAATCAGTCAATCCCTTTTTTCTCTATTTTGTGTGTGGAGAAGGTTGTTTTCTAAAGGGGGCAGACAAACCTGAAATTTCCTTCAAGATCAGCAGTGCTGTGTGATCCTCTACATGTACATTTCCCATTCTCGACCCAATCAATCACACATCATAATTGCCTGCATGTATTAATCAGGGCCAATCTCCTCTTGGAGTGTCTGCATATCATATTCCCTCCCTTCCACCGCTAAAAAAAAAACCTCATCCAAAATAAACTGTGAACAAAGAACTGAATTAGCCAAAATAACGGACACATTGCACCCAACAGGACAAAACGATGATGGACGAGAGACCAGACAGGAGAGGATTGGGAAATCCAGTAACCTTCAAAAAAAGGCTTTTAGTTTTGGGAAAACAGTGGCATCATGATGCTTCACTTTTTTCCATCTGCCTGATTATTCATGTCAGTGTAGTCGATTCAGAATTCAAACTTGAATGTAGAGGACACTTTGTTCGGGACTGCCAACTGTAACTCGAACCTGTGCAAGCTGCGATGCTAATTTTCATTACGAGCAAGATGCTAGGGTTGTGGATTAATATTATGGTCATGACGGAAGCAGATATCAGACACCATCCTTGTAAACTTATTTCAGTAAAACTAAAAGTAAAAAAGCACAAATGGTCTACACAACACGGGGTGTCTTTGAAAAGTGGGAACGCATTAGACATTTACACTGAACTGTTACTAGTGTTTGGTGTATGATTGCTGTATTTCGGCTTCGCCATGTTTGTTATTATTGTCATGGTGAATGTGGCTTTTTAGTTTTTCTATGGATGTTTCATTTCCACGATATTTACAAGACGTTTAAGCTTGACATTGCAACAATTTTCAGAAGTTCACAAAATTACTCCTGAGTGGCAGGTTAACACTATTCGGTTTATTGAATTAACATGCCTAAACAGACAAAATAAAAATGTTACCTTTGTGTGGAAATCCATTGTCTACATCATGTAGCAGTCATACTAAATTATGCCAAAGCCATCCAAATTTTATGCTGATTTTCAGTGATTTTGAGATGTAAAACTGGTCATTACTCTGGAATAATTCACGGTTTGATGAAATATCCCTCATTGAGTTGCAAATTTCGCACACTTTCACTCAGCCTCAGGAAACAGTAAACCCCGAAACTCTTTCAAATAAAAAGGATTTAGGCCTAGGCCTACAAAAATTATGAACGTGGGCCCACATGTAGTTTCAAAATGTTCAGTCCACCATCATCATGACCATGTCTACTACTAGATGGTTGTCATGGTTGTGGCAAATACAAAGATCTGCTCAAAAAATTTGCCAAAATGGACCACAACCTTAGGCCTACCTGTGAAAACTTCGACGCCTGACTATATCCAGCGTCAGGCGTCAGCCACCACCACTGCACGTCCGTCCACCGTCCTCTGTATGTACGGGGTCGAGAGCAATGCCGGCTTGCCGTCCGGTACGGTCCACAGCCAGCAAGCTGGGCACCGCTACGCGGTTGCCGTGGTCCTGCACGACCCACGGGTGGGCAGTTGCTCGTCACCGCATCTTCCTGAAAGGGTTTCCTGATGATAATTCACAAGAAGTGCCCAAGCGCACCTTTTGGCCCAAAATGCTTCTCGTTGTTAGTCTTTACCAAGTCCCGCGTAAAGCATACGCCGACTCCATTATGCCCATGTATACGTCAGCATTCTGATCACGAGAGGTCGCTGACAAATGAGGGTCAAAATTTTAGCAACTAAGTGCACTCTTTCCGCTAAAGATGTATAATGAAACCGTTCGAATTTACTACCAAACGAATGTATGACACTTCGTGTAACTGATTTGATAAAAATTATTTTCGTTTCTAGATTGCTTTCTTCGATTAAATTGGATTTTTTTTTCAATCAAAGAGCTTGTCCTGCCGCAGATGCGCAGACATTTTTATTTAACTTGCATCATGGGAAATGTCATAGTCTGGTGGCGTTGTTCAAGTTCCGTTAACTATAAAAATCGCCTAAGTTGAGAAAGTGAACCAGACCCAGTTGGGGGTTGAAGGATTGGATTTGCACAAAACTTAACTCGCGAGGATAGAGATCCCAGAACATCTGATATGTTTCTTAGGGCCTAGAAACTACGATTGATGTTCACACATGTATTACAAAGTTTGATATGTCAAGAACAGTGACAGATGCAGGTCTGTGTGTTTGCCATTTGTTAGGAAAGAGTTTCATATCATGTGGGATGCCACTCGACACCCTGACATGTCAATTGTCAATGCCTGTCACAAATCCCATAAGTTATAATAACTATGACTGTGAGACTGGTCTGAAAAATTCGAAGTGTTTTCTGCGTAAAGGACTTGTTTTTTCCTCCTAAATTGAACTTTTCTGGACACTTTTTTGCTTTCTGATAGCCAATAGATCACTGTAGTCATGGACGATGCTGTAGGGAATAGCTACCTCCATGAACTCTTCCCATTTACATGATTTATAATTTAACAGTTGACCCTCGTTACATGTCCTGTTAACATGGCTAAGTTACTAAGACGTACTAATGCTAGGTGTTAACGACAGTGACTGTTGTTAAGCTTGTTTGTTTGCCGGTTATGTGTTTCCTGTCAGTGGCTGTTCGGGCATGTCAGGGGTGTTCATGAGAAGATTCCCCCTTCCCCCAGTATACATGCCCATGCTCCCGGCCCCGCCATGCCCGGAGTCAGAAAACTTGTTAAAACTGGTTGTCTTGATTATAAAAAAAAAAAGACCCGTCCATAACGTTAGACCTGTTGTTCTTTGCAGAAACACCTGACACTTGACGGTGGCAAAACTAATTTCGGGGAAATTATTCCGCCAGTCGTGCCAATTTTTAAAAAAATGATGAATAACATTAACAAGAAGGTATGATGAGGGGAGATTGAATGCAGAGACACCCTTTTATGGCTTCAGAAAGCCCACCCCCCATTTAGAAAATGTCACCCTACCCCAATCATACACCCCACCACTCGGGCACCTAACTCCAGAAAGCTCTAAGAGGTTTTACAAACCTTACAAATAGTTATGAAAACTGTGCATGAAAGTTTTGCTTTTCTGATCGTAAAGAATTTCAGTCTTTATGCAGTAAGACAGCTTGAGTACTTATATGTGGTGTCTGTGAATGATAGTGGCCATCAACAGGTCTGACCCAACTGCAACACCCTAAGTTGGGATCGTCCAACCATAGTTCGGGCTCTCCCATCTTAAGTTGGGACTAGTAGAGTGCTTTGGTTGGGATAAAAACTCAGTGTTACTTATTTTGTTTTGACAGTGCGTGGGGGTGTTGGTCACACAACCTTTGGGGTGGAGGTTGAAGGGAGCATCAATGCCATCAGTGCCCGCCGGGACTCGTCACAAGTTGTAGTGGCTGGCAGATCAGGTATGTATGGCCATGGAGTGGCTGGGGCTTTGGGTTTTTTGTCATTTCACATCTTGCAGTGAACAGCTGCAGCCGAAGAAAATGAGGTCCATTCAGACACTTGACCTCACAATCCATAATCAAGCATTGACAGTTGCCTATTGTGTCACCCTGCAGTTTTTAAGATCTTCCATGTGGAGGAGTGCAGCTTCAGGGAGACACTGAATCTGCGCGTCGGTCGGATCACGCTCAGGTACAGCTGCAGCGACGTCGTCTGGCATCCGTTAAAAGGTTGGACCTCTGTTCTGACTTCACCACACTCCCTTGCCCTGTCCAGTTTGAAGTGCTTCTTCTTTTCTGCCCAAGACTTCATCTCTCACTTTTCCTGTTTCTTTGTAGTTAACCTTTTCTCCTTTTCATCCCAACCTGCTTAATTACATGACCTCTCTTCAGGTTACTTACTTAAATCCACCAAATGGTTTTGTAAGATTTAGTGGGATTGAGGAAGGTGGAAGCCAGCAGTTGTGAGACACTGTCTGAAATAAATTTCTGGAGCTATTGTCGGCATGCACCAGAGTGTTTACAACTAGCAAAGACCTTGATGAATCTCTAGACATGAGATTTGGATGTGACCTCTCTCTGGGGGCTTAATCCTGCTTGGAGAGCTCAAGTGGAAAGAATCTACTCCTGATTTTTTGCCCAGTGTTGGAGTCTAGAAGATTCTTTTCAAGAATTCTTGCCTGGCTGTAGCAGTGTTAGTGCCTGCCATTAACTCCAACAACTCTCTAGACATGAGATTTGGATGTGACCTCTCTCTGGGGGCTTAATGCTGCTTGGAGAGCTCAAGTGGAAAGAATCTACCACTGCTTTTGGGCGCAGTGTTGGAGTCTAGAAGATTCTTTTCAAGAATTCTTGCCTGGCTGTAGCAGTGTTAGTGCCTGCCATTAACTCCAACATTCATTTCGTTTCGGTAGATGAACTCCTGGCGACGGGTGCGACCAACGGCCACGTGTGCACCTGGAACTTGCTGAAGCACCAGGGAAACAAGCTGGAGCACGAGTTCACCAACCACAGCCGGGGGGTCAACCGGGTCTCCTTCCACCCCCTGGAGTGGTACATCCTGCTCAGTGGCTCGCAAGACGGAACCATGAAATTCTTTGTAAGTGCTCCTGCCGACGAGTCCGCGTGAATCGCAGCAAATATTCCGAGCCAGCGGGACGTAAATTGTGTCTAAAAAAAGTCGGCTTGGTCGTAAATCCATTTCTGATTTTCTGTTGGAATTTTTCCCTGACAGGATCTGCGGAGTAATCTCTGTGAAGCTACGTTTGGCGGCAAACAGAACGAGAGCGTGCGTGACATCCAATTCAGCCCGCACGACTCTTTCTACTTTGCCACCACATCGGACACTGGAGGAATACAGGTGAGACACCCCGTTGCAAAACGCGAGTGAAGTCACATCCAACCAAATTCCAAGAGTGCAATATCCACAACAAGAGAACAGAAACGTTACAGCACTTCACAATAGGGTGTGAGTTGAGTTTTAGGTCTCTGAAACTTTGCACAGAGCAAGGTTGCGCGTAAGCATGCAGTGGATTTCTTGCCTGGGTAAAAGACGCACCAGATGTTCGGTTTTTGCCAACACATCATGCATGCACGGTTGTTTGCGCAGGGAACGCGCACACTCTGAAAGTACATTAAACTGCTAAGGTAAAGCTCATCACTGCCAGGGCGTGCATGCGTTGACCCAAACCGCTCTTTGATGCCCCTTAGGAGTTAATAACTGTCTGCGCACTGTCCTGTATAAAACACCTGCCTCATCAGAGTGGATTGCCACAGTTCAAAAATGTTCAACAAATTCGGGTTTAAACTTAGGGGTCGAATTACTTCAGTGGCGACTGTGGCGCCACGCTTTCGTGCAGGTTGCATGCACATGTTGAGTGGCTCTTGGACCAATAGGGTACTGTGACCCTGCCAAAATGGATGCGATTTAAGTTAACGCGAGGGGCGCGCGACTTTGGTGCCAACGTTGTAATTGCGTCTCCACAGATTAGTCTGTGACCTAGCTTAAAAGGTGTCGAGGCTTTTACCGTGTGGGAAAACTTCTTGTTTCATTCCTCAACACAGACCTGGGATTTCCGCCGATCAGATAAGTACTTGCTGAACAATGTGGCCCACATTGGCCCTGCGTTTGCACTAGACTGGCACCCCGAAGACAGAAACGCCATCGCGACGTGCGGACGAGACAAGTTGATCAAGGTGAGCTAGGTGCATTCTGGGTAAATTTAGGAAAAAATGAACTTTATCAAACCACAACCCATCAGTACAGAAATGTGAAATTATTCAACTTTAAGCAAAAAATATGAAAATATTTTTGGTCCGATTACCTATCATCATTTGACGGCTAGTGAGGAGTAAGACGGTACTATTCGTTGCAGGTCTGGAAATTAGACAACAGTGACAATGGGATGACAGTAGAGAACACCGTGTACTGCATCGCGTCGGTAGCCCGCGTCAAGTGGCGACCGAACAAGAAGTACTACATAGCGAGCTGCTCCCAAGTGGTGGACCAGACGATATGCGTTTGGGACGTCCGCAGGCCCTATATGCCCTTTGCTGTGTTTGAGGAGCATAAAGACATGGCTACGGGTGAGTATCTGCAATAGACCCAGAGCATATCCGCTTGAGGGCGCTTTATGATGAGCTAAAAATAAAATAATTGGGCACTAACAGTCCAGGTGTGTGGACCACTGGACAGGAATGGAGAGGCCACGAATTTTTTCCCCAAACAGTTGTGGTTTTCTGTCTTGTGTTTGGTCTGTTACCTGCATATCAAACGTATCGTTCTTGACCACCCAAACCAAACCAAGAATGTTACTTTCTCACTTGTTTATTTACAATTTTAAAAAACAAAAAGTAAAAACAACAGAGAGGATTTGAACCCGAGACGAAGGATTTCAATTCGGGAGTACTCCCGACCAATCCACACATCAGCTGCCAAGCTATGGTGAATTTAATACTCGTATACCTGATTATCTAGCCCCTCTTTAAAGCCTTGGACAAATTTATGAATAATGCATAAGCACAGAGGGCGCCCTCTTTCGAAACGGTCGGATCTGGTTGGGAAAATAAATATACATGGGCAGGCCTTCACCGTATTAAAGGGAACAGTTTCTTTGTTAGGCAAATTAGGACCGAGTTATGAGGACATTTCTTTGTCCCCACAACGTTTTCAGTCCCCACAAAAATCATTGTAGTGGTGAGTGTAGCTACCCACAGAAATGGAGCAAATTTGTGTGCTGTTCCATGTTTGAATTTATGAAGACGTGAGATCCACGTAACGAAGGCAGTGGAGACGTGTTGACTTGCCCAGGGTCACAGACAATCCCCCCCCCAAAAAAAAACAAATTAGGAGAATGGGAAGGTAAGGATCTCATCAAAGAATGAAAACGAGCAATCAAGGAACCATGATAAAAACTTCAGGTTGAGAGAGTGCTCACCGTGTGAGTAAAATGAGGTTTTCTCATCGTTTTTTCCGAACAACATGAAACTAAAGGAATGCTCACACTCGGTATGTAATGTAACGCATGTGCCATCACTGCATTCAAATTTGCATATTCTATACTAATGTAAACAGCACTGATGTTTCAATTCCATGGCATCTCAGATGAGGAAGTCACTACTGGCAAATATAGATGAAATTTCAGTCAGAACATGCCACATGCCAAGTAATGGGTAGCGGTCAGTGTATTCTTTCCTCAATTTTGACTCTTTAGGTGTGGTTTGGAAGGATCCTCACGTCTTCATGTCCGGAGGCAAGGATGGTATGCTTTACCATCATATCTTCAAGGATGCCAAACGCCCCGCAGAAAGCGGTGTAAGTTTGCCTCAAGTGGTCTGAATCGCTCAACGGCACAGTCCAACGTAGAGGTTTCTCAGACACAATTATGTAACAAATCCTACGCAAATTAATTGTGATTTTGGCTTTTTACCCAAATTTTTGATGACATCTTAATATCCGACATGTGTGACCTTTGACCGAAGTTGCAGGCAGAAGTGCCAGAACTGACCTTATGTCCATCACAGTGTATATCACCCAAGAAAATTGTGGCAGCCCTGAATGTGACGCATTGGAATAATTTGACCAAGTGATAGTGTGTCAAGTCGTAAGTAGCGGGATGGACAATGATAAAGGAAGGCTGATGTCACTGTTCATTTGAATGGCTTCTTATATGTCTGAAGACGAAATGACTCGCGATGGGACTTGCACGGACTTGTATTTGGTCACAGAGTCACGACCATTTAGCCTGGGTGACTGCAGAATTCTCCCGTTGTTACATCTGCCCCCCCCCCCACAGAGCCCAGTGGGTGTATCCATGAGCCTCCACGGCAACATCTGCCACGTTCTGAGCAAATCCAGCCAGACCGAGAGCCAGCAGCAGGCCGCCAGCTACTCCAACACGCGCAAACCCATGAGCTTCCGCCGCAGGGGACCGGCCGGCATGCAGGACGTCTTCCAGCCCTACGAGAGCTCCATGCTGGTTTACAAGAACCAGGAGAAGGACACGGTAAACACGTAACTCGTGTGTTTCCATACGTATGCCCTTGAGCAAGACAGTTTACAACAATTGTTTCCTTCCAGTCTTGTGCCGATTGTTGCCTGGCAGGGCAGTCCCTGTTCTTGAAACATTCTCTGATTGTTTCCTGTAATTTTTCTCTGAATATGATCGGAATTCTTGTGTTGTACTGTTAATCCCTTCGCAGTTTTCAGACTTGTTCCTGGCCTGTGCTCAAAGATTCCAGCTGACAGGCCGTCCGTTTCCTGAACTGTGCGAACACAACGCTAAGGTTTCCCGTGAGCTGGGACGGTATCAGGTACAGTCATAGGTGGCAACACAAATCCTTTTTGCAAATCTTTGGAGCTCTGCGAAGAAGCCAAACAATCTCAGTGTTCCAGCCAGAAGTGAATCACTTGGTAGCATTCCATCATCTCAAAATTGGAAGTCAGTGTTGCTGCTGTAGACAGACCTATAACAAGGCCTGACAGGCTTTATCACCAGTTGCACCCAGTGCTCTACAGTGTCAGGGTCAAGGAATCTTTGTCTTGTTTTTTGTTTCTTGCCTAAATGTACTGCTTAACCCTCCTACGCTGAAGTCACTCTTTGGCTCTTTTGGTAAACACCTCAAAGAAGCACAGCTGTGTCGTGTTGTGCACTGCACCAACTGTCCCTCACAGGAATACCAGATTG